CAGAGATACTTCCAGCGAAAACAGTGGTGAGGTTTCCGGACCTCCTGTAGGGACACCCACTCCTCGCCGGAAACTGTCACGCAGAGAGTCCAGAAGACGTGTTTCCGTTAAGGAGCTTTTATGTTGGAAGCGATTACGAAGCAACCACTGTCGGAATCTTCTAGTGACTAGAGGAGCCATGTCAGAGGGGCTCAGTCACAGACAGAGGTTTGTGGACTTGAACAAACTCTGAGGGAATACGATTTTACGCACAAGCAGCTCATCTTCCCATCACAATATATTTACATGGTACATCAAATATGCATCCCCAAATCTGAAGAGTATGTGCTACAGCCCAGAAAGGACTGCGCCACAATGAATTTCTGCAAGCTTGAATCAGCTATCTGTTGCGGAGCTACCCAAACTAGCCTGATGGATGTATATGCCTTGTCAGTAGTGTACTGATAAATCAGCAACTGCACTTTTAGATTATGAATTTTATAGATCAGTGAGACATACATCTTTTGCTAGATGAAATAAAGTGAAAGTAAAATATATGATTTTTTTTAAAAGTCAGTTGGATCCAGACTCTTTCCAGTTGGTGTAGGGCCTGAGATCTAGTGGAGACTCCTGGAGGAGGAAGGATTGGGGAAGTGATTTTTGCTGATCTCCCCTTCTTCCTGAAGCCCTCTGCACCATTTCCCACACTACCTCGGGTTAAGAACTTAATTCTTTCTGGAGGTCCGTTCTAAAGCAGAAACTGTTCTTAACCTGAGGTACCACTTTAGCTAATGGGGCCTCCCATTAGCTGCGCCGCTGCCACGTGATTTGTTTTCAACCTGAGGTAAAGTTCTTAACCTGAGATACTATTTCTGGGTTAGCGGAGTCTGTAACCCGAGGTACCACTGTACTCTGATTTTGGGGAGATACAGGGGAAGGGAAGAATTGGTGAAAACCACCTCTCTCTCTCCCCCAACCCTATCTTCCAAATAACTTTCTATTAGCCAAATTTCACTTATGGAAACTCTGGATCCAACCACAGCTTCTATAAGCAGAGGGTGGCAGTCTCAGGTGCTTTTTTTTGCCTATAGTAGCTAAATGTTATGTGAAAAGTAACTGTATATAATTTACTCCATTCAATCTCTACCTGTGAGCAGCTGGCGATAGTACTTGTTGGCAAGCCTATGGAGGGGGCCCAGGCTACATCTCTGACCCAGTCACTGTGAGCTTCAAGTTTTTGTTCTTCTTTCCACTGGCCATCTTCTTCTCTGGCAGGATTCGAGGGAGAAAGGTGCAAATTTAGAAAGAGCAAAACAAAACATATTCTCATTGTATTTCCCATGCAGAAGCTTAGTGTTGTAATACTGGCTGCCAGTTATCTGGGCCCAATTTAAAGTGTTGGTTTTAACCTATAATGCCTTAAACGGCTCAGGACCACAATAACTCAAGGACTGCCTCTCTCCATATGAACCTGCTCAGACCCTGAGATCATCCTCTGAGGCCCTTTTTCATGTGCTTCCTTCCATGAGAGGACTGGAGGGTGGCAATATGAAAACAAGCCCCTTTTACAGTGACTCCCTGTTTGTGGAATGCTCTCCCCAAGGAGGTTCGGCTTGCGCATTCATTATACACCTTTAGGCACCAGGTAAAAAGTTTTTCTTCAAGCAGGCCTTTGGCTGATTGACATCCCATGTCCTTTTAAATGTATCATGGGATGGGGGGAGGTTCTTGGTTTGTTTTCGTTCTTATATTTAATTAGGTATTTTGTGCTCTTTATATAGTAATTTTATGTTGTGAAATGCCGAGATCTATGGATGACTATATAAATTTAAATAATAACAGTAATAACAATAAAAAAGCTAACCTTCCACAAAACAAGAGCAAAAACCTAAAGCTGGGACAGCCATTCTGTCAAAGCAACACTACAACACTACAAATAACGGGCTGATCCTATACCCAAGATACATAAAGGAGAAGAATTTCATAAAGCCTTGTTCCAACAACCCACTTCAATGATAACATAAGGGTTTTGCAGGACTTTCTGTTTTAAACAGCAGCTTCCCATGCCATATTTGAAGCTGCCTGTGAATATGGAGGTAATTTTTTGTAAGTCTCTTCAGAAGACAGCTGCTGTTTGAAACTCCAGATAAAGCCATTTGGGCTCCAAGACATGGAAGTGCAAGCACAGATGCACACATTGGAATGAAAGTGAGCGAGGTTAGAGTCAGAAATAAAGCCTTTTAAGCAATTTTAATACCTTGGAAGGAGTGTGGGTGGGGGGAGGTTGAAAAGAGGAAATACAAAGAAAGGTCTGTCATATAGGAAGACTTTAGGTAAATTTGTCAGGACAACTTACTTCCAAATCTTGATAAGGTTATCACAGCCGCCTGATGCAAAACGCTTAATGTAGTTTGGTTTTTGGCTTGATGGCGGTTCTATAAGGCTTCCTGGTACAACTGCAGGGGCCCAGCTAACAGCATTGCAGCCAATCTATGCAAGAACACAAATTTATGCAGTTTCTTCCTATTTGTAGCCAAAGCAAGCATCCAAATATTTCTTAACACAACTAACATAATGACAGGATACTTGCTGAAGTAGCATACTAAGCATACCATTTATCATGCTATTCTGAATACTTTCATGTTAAACAGAACAGTATAATTATGTCGAGAAATGAAGGCCCTGAGTCAATGCCAACTTTTTCATCTTATTTGTTTGGACGTATGAAATTGCCTTTCACTGCCAGACGATCTAGACAGCTACTGCCTATTGTACTAGCACCAGCATTCTGCTTTTTATTTTATTTTAAGGCAGACATATTTTCCAGTCCTGTTACCAGGATTTTCTTAAGTGGAAACATCAGCAACTGAACTTTGGACTGTCTTCTTCCACGTATGCAGTCTAACCACTGGGGTATGGGCCTTCCCATATGTAAACATATTAACTATGTTTTTGGACATCTGACATTTCATCAAAGTGGCTTTTCGTTTTAACTTCAGTTCAGTACTACAGAGTAGCAAAACTTTCTGCAATAAAATTGTGATTATTATATATTGATTTACATGCAACTTAATGTCAAAACGGGTTTCTATGCAGTTTACAAAGAATAAAATTGTTGCACAGACATTAAAATAAACATCCATATCTGAAATGCACAATAAAAGAATCCCATTAAAATTACTCACTGTATGTGCATTGCTGATTTTTTTCACTTCCCATGTTCCATCACCACTGCAGCTTAGCAGAGAGATGGCCCCATCAGAGCTGCCGCAAGCCAGGATCAATCCAAAGTCTTGTGGTGCCCAACATACGGAATTCACTGCCAGAAAACACAAAAATTGGTTGAATTATTTATAAAGGCTACTTAAAAGTTGAGGGGAATTCATGTGTACCTTGACCTGAATAGATTTGTCAGCAATGAGTGAGGCAATCAGAGCAGAAGCCTAGGCTTGTTAAGTGGATTAAAAGTCTGTCACATTATGCTTAAAGCTTTTGTTTTTAAATAGCAACTAAGTTTTAGGAATTTTAGATGGTACCAAGGTAGATTTCTCTGTGACTGCACTTAAGACAGTGCATAGTTTATTGATCCTAGTAATGCTTTACCAAAATTAGTACAGTGGTGCCCCGCAAGACGAACGCCTCGCAAGACGGAAAACCCGCTAGACGAAAGGGTTTTCCGTTTTGGAGGCGCTCATAAAGCAATTTCCCTATGGGCTTGCTTCGCAAGGCGAAGCCCATAGGAAATCTCCGAGGACCTCTTTTAAATGCTAGCGGTGGGAGCAAAGCCTTCCCCCCTCCGGCCTTCAGAAGAGGTCCAGGAAGGCTGGGGGGGGCCGAACGCTTTGGCCCCCCACCGCCAGCATTTTAAAAGCAGTCCGGGATAGCGGGAAGCGCTTCCCTGCTATCCCGGACGGCTTTTGAAGGCAGGAGAGGTCCGCGAAGCCTGGGCGCGCTGATCTCAGCGCGCGCAGGCTTCGGCATGCCGGCAGCTCTCCGCAAGCAGCGGCAGCGCTGCCGCTGCTCGCGGAGAGGTCCGCGAGCCTGGGCGCGCTTATCTCAGCGGGCGCTGGCTTCGGCATGCCGTCAACTCTCCGCAAGCCGCGCCTGCGCTGCCGCTGCTCGCGGAGAGGTCCGCGAAGCCTGGGCGCGCTGATCTCAGCGCGCGCAGGCTTCGGCATGCCGGCAACTCTCCGCAAGCAGCGGCAGCGCTGCCGCTGCTCGCGGAGAGGTCCGCGAAGCCTGGGCGCGCTGATCTCAGCGCGCGCAGGCTTCGGCATGCCGGCAACTCTCCGCAAGCAGCGGCAGCGCTGCCGCTGCTCGCGGAGAGGTCCCGCGAAGCCTGGGCGCGCTGATCTCAGCGCGCGCAGGCTCGGCATGCCGGCAACTCTCCGCAAGCAGCGGCAGCGCTGCCGCTGCTCGCGGAGAGGTCCACGAAGCCTGGGCGCGCTGATCTCAGCGCGCGCAGGCTTCGGCATGCCGGCAACTCTCCGCAAGCAGCGGCAGCGCTGCTCGCGGAGAGGTCCGCGAAGCCTGGGCGCGCTGATCTCAGCGCGCGCAGGCTTCGGCATGCCGGCAACTCTCCGCAAGCAGCGGCAGCGCTGCCGCTGCTCGCGGAGAGGTCCGCGAGCCTGGGCGCGCTGATCTCAGCGCGCGCAGGCCTCGGCATGCCGGCAACTCTCCGCAAGCAGCGGCAGCGCTGCCGCTGCTCGCGGAGAGGTCCGCGAGGCCTGGGCGCGCTGATCTCAGCGCGCGCAGGCTTCGGCATGCCGGCAACTCTCCGCAAGCAGCGGCAGTGCTGCCGCTGCTTGCGGAGAGGTCCGCGAAGCCTTGGCTGGACAGCTTTTGAAGGCAGGTGGGGGGGACAAAGACTTTCGCCCCCGCCAGCCTTCAGAAGAGGTCCAGGACCTCTTCTGAAGGCTGGCGGGGGCAAAGTCTTTGTCCCCCTGCCTGCCTTCCCAGGGGCTTTCAAATTGCCCCGGACAGCGGAGAAGTCCTCCGCTGTCCCGGGGCAATTTTAAATGCCGCCCGCCAGCATTTTAAGATCGCCCCGGACAGCGGAGAAGCCCTCCGCTGTCCCGGGGTTTTTTAAAATGCTGGGGTGGGTGGGAAGAAAAGCCCTTGTCCCCCAGCCTTCAGAAGAGGTCGGGGGACAGACTGTCCCGGACCTGGTCTGAAGTCGGTTTCCCTAGGAACGCATTAATTGATTTTCAATGCATTCCTATGGGAAACCGTGCATCACAAGACGAAAAACTCGCAAGAAGAAAAAACTTGCGGAGCAATTAATTTCGTCTTGCGAGGCACCACT